TGGAACAATTCTCCTGGCAAGATATCGCAAGAATACGAAACACTATAGGTGGGACTGGAGCCCAGGCCTGAGCACCCGACTTGGGCTTCGACTTGGTCAAGCCCAAGCCCAAGCCTGCTCAAGTCTTGTGTTGGGCCAGGCCCGGCTTGTTGAAGCCCGGGCTTGGCTTGGCGGGCTTGGGGCTTGAAGCCGGGCCGTGAGATTCACTATTCCGCCGGCGTTCCAAGCACCACACATGAACCCGCACTTTCGGTCCGTTACGCTTCGCAGAGTATTGCATACCTCAAAGTCAGTGGTGTTAATGCAGCACGTCGGAAGGATTCCGACGGCGGGCAGCTATACCCACCACTTCCCATTGGATTTCTGCGGCAGGAAACCCCCCTGCCCTGAGGCACAGTTCATTTGGCTTCGGACAACTTTGTATGGTCCAGTGGTGCCGTCTGTTGCGGCACAAGTACACACTGCCGTTTGTCGGAACCAGTCCGACCACGCCGTCGTGATCTCTGACCGCCGGGCGTTCCGAGTACAACACAGATACTCCGACTTCTAGGTGAGGTTACTTCCCCAGTCTTATTCCACGTAGCTCAAAACGTCATGCGGGGAGATAGCAGATAATCAAGCGGTCAAAAAACGATCAACAGTAAATATTAGGGCTGTGAACCGTAGACCCGTACCCGTTTACGGGTACGGTACCCGTATTTCCGGGCAGACCCGTATACGGTACGGGTTGTTACGGGTGTGCTTGAGGCCCGTACGGCCGGGTCCCGTAAGCGCATTTTGGCGCAGGGATCAGCCCGTAAACCCGTATACGGTTGGGTACGGGTGACCCGTACCGTACCCGACCCGTAAAGTTCTTGCTCGAGAGGCGCTACGGCCGGGTCCCGTACCCGTACGACGGGCCGTGGACCCGGCGCTTACGGTTACGGTTCACAGCCCTAGTAAATATGTACAACGAGCGTATCGATCAAAATTGCCTCGGGTCATCTGAGCCTTCTTCTTCCTCCTCTCGCAGAGCTAGCATGGCTACATCCGTCTATGGAGCTAGAGCCAAGCGCCCGCGAACCATCTGAGATCTGCGCGCCAGTTGCGTGGCTATTTCTGGGCGGATAACTGGTGGTCGCATATCCACTATGTCGATCCGCCGCGACCGAGAGTGTGAAGGGGCGCCGGAACCCGTCGGTTGAGTTTCACCTGCTTCGTTAGCCCAGCTGCGCCACTGTTGCACGGCGTGGGTATCGAGAGTCGGTTGGAGATGAGCTGCATACACAGGAGTGGACCGCTTCGACGGGTTCCACGCCACGCTTACGCCTCTTGGGCTCGATGGTCTGAATGTTCCGAATGCAGTCCAACCCGGCCCAGTCTTTGACCTGTAATCAAACATTTTGTCTAAGACCAGGACGGGGAACCATCGAAATTCCGCAAAAAGTGCGGCACAGAAAGTGTGAACCTTTATGGCCTTGTCTCGGTCAGCGCCCAATACCAGTTGTACGTAGCGTTTGTGGGCGGGAGCCAATCCCCAGCCCTGTTTCCCATAGTTTCCGACTGCACCAGGGGCAGGGAACAGGAGGTTCCCGATGTGCTCCCACGTTTTCCGGTCATTTGTGAGATATCCGCGCTCGAAGTAGGACAAGAGGTTGAGGTCCTGGAAAGTCTCGGGCCCAATACACAGCCGCTGCTCCGGGGTAAGCCGGCAGTACCCCGTGGACCCGCCTTGGCTGACACCAAGGCGCTGAAAGACGTCGGATATAACCTCGTAGAAGACTTGGGTGACGTTCATAGGCTCCGCGGGCGGTGGTGACCCAAAACGGGCATCCGGATGCAGGTCATCTGCTCTGTCATAAGGATCCTCATCGGTAACAACGACAAAACTGCCAGGGAGCTGGACCAAACGGCGCTCAATCCGCTTTGCGGGCCTGACATTGCGGACCTGCAGCGCACCCTCCGTTCGTAGCACGTTTCTCACGGCACCATCGAATAACCCCTTAATGCTGCTCCACGGAATGCCGAATATATTCGACAACTGTGCCTCGTCTAAGACCGTGGGGGAGTAACGGAAACGGAGGATGTTTGACATCCCTGGTTCAGGCCAGTTGAGCTCGGGTAGCCACAGGGCGCCCCTCTCCATGATGGGGGTGGCAGCGTGCGGGGAAGTGGGAGAATAGATGCAGTTTTCGAGCACTTCCTGGGGGTCTTCGCAGTATACCGCCGTCCCCCACACCGCTCTGGCGAGCTGCCGGGAGTTGTTCATGGATCCCGGTGTGCAGTTGAGCGCGTTGAAGACGTAGGTGCCCACCGCGATTAGTTTCAGGTGGTCAGGCGTCGACCGCGTGGTCGTGCTCTGGGCCGCCGCCGCTCGAAACAGAATAGCGAGGGCCATCATCCGCTCAAGTCGCCAACCCCTAGCAGAATGCATTGATAAATCGGTATGTATGGGAATCACTCCGCCTGAACGACGTACCAAATAGTGGTCAGCTTGGCAACGGTGACGGTGTTATCGAAGTTGGCGAGATTCAGGCAGGCCCCGTTGAACACCGTGGTTGCATAATGTTTTGGCACCCGCACCTCGAAGCGGGTTGCCACAGGGACGAGGTTCTGTAAGCCGCCGTGCAGATTCTTGTACACCCCGCAAAGGAAGGTCAGCTCCTGGTCGGCGGTGACCATCTTCAGCGGATGTGTCGCATTTAGGACCGGCATGCGGCCCTCCAGCCCCGCATTATAAAGGAGCGCTTTGTCGGAGACATACAGCTGCGCGTATGAGATCCTACTGGGCGATTTTGGGTCATCGGCCCAATCCCAATGAGCACCAGCCGTCGACGCGACTCCACTCCAAACGTCTAGCCGCTTCGACTCCAGAGGGACCTTGTCTTCGGGAATGCCAACAACCCGCCGGAGCAGTTCCTCGTGCCCGTTACGCAGCAGCAACACTCCCCAGCCATCTGGTGGATGTATTTCGATGGCCACGTCGACGTATGTGTGGGCACCGCTGCTTCTGACGTCTCGAAGGAGCTGGTGAAGCTTGTCAGCCACGCGATCCTCGCTCGCAGGGTGGCGGGTTTCGTCCTTGACACCGCGGATTTGCAGGAGCCAGTAGGCCGAACTACCCCACGGTTGAGCAAGGATCAACTCCGCAACTCGGCGGCCTACTTCTGCGCCGTCCCGGCTCGGGATGATTTTGCGAGATTGTGAGTGCCTGCCGCGGCCGCTCCCGAATCCTGCTTGGCGCCCCACCTCGTCCTCGTAACGGGGCACCTGGCCCGGTACCATCTCCGGGGTCGTCGCTTCAATGGCGGCATACACGGATTCGTACACAATTTTTTGGACAAGCTCCGGCTCTGTATCTTTGAGGTCGGGAAGCATCAGGTAGATGCTGTGGCGGCCGCTTGGTCCGCATTGGGCGAACCACAGGGCGGGATCTTTGCCAGGGTTGCGAGTCACCGCGGGCGCCGGATTGCCGTCTTCGTCGATGGGTTCCTCAGCCTCGAACGGCAAATCGATGTGCAACGAGCCGATGGGGCCGATTTCGGAGCGATAGGTATATAGCTGTAATCCTTTTTCCACGGGAATGACGGGGAAACCACAAGGACCGAATCGATATCCCGCCAAATCGAGCAATCGCGTACTGTCTTCTCCTGATTGCGGACATGGAAGTCTAGCCGAACTTTGGCGCGATTTGGGCGATCGATGACACCGGAGAGCCCACAGTTCAGGTATCGCCGCAGGCGGACGGGGTCAAGATCCTTATATTTTTCGTCCATGACATTGGATGTGAGCGCAGCGCGGAAGATAGCGGTCTGGCGTACCGCTTGCTCAAGGTGGGCTGATTGCACTTGGACCATGTGGGGGAAAACAAGGAGGCTGGGTAGAAATCCTTGCTGCCTTATATACCTAGGGGACCGCCAGGCACAGGCCGCGAGGTCGCGATTAGAGTGCGCAGGGTGTGGATTTTAGGATTGTTCATTACGCTTAGCTGTCATGGACGTAGATAATGGAGCTTCCAATTACCTGTTGCTGTCACGGAGGTGGATTTAGGCTTCGCGCATGACGTTGGGCCTGTCCCTCGTGGATTTAAACTTTCCGGCAATTACGAACCGACGGCAATAGCTTAAATACTCATTTTCACACTTGGACGTAAGGCAGAAATGTTTCCAGGGTGGTACAGAGTGAGGTGTGTAGATATTAGGTGAAGTGTGGGCTTGCCGTTGAACTCCTCGCCACTTGGGAGGCGCCAGCCGCTTCCAATAAATCCCAATGGAGACAACTCCGAACACTGGTGACATACCAGATCGGATTTTTTTCAGGCCTCTGATTGTAGTGCTGAATGCCTGTGTTACACCAGTCGAGCGTGTTTCAGGGAGAACCTCGCTGACGACTGACTTCATTGGAACGGTATCGACAGGGCAACTCCGGAACCTACCGTAATGGGATGTCACCGGTGCCACAATTTCAGATCTGTGGAAAAGACGCAGCCCGTAATTTGTCGGAACCTTGTCGACAGCACAACCTGGACTCATAACAATGGCCCCAGCCCATGGCCTGATAGAGGGATCTGAATGACCTGTGTTGCACGAACCTCGCGCGGTTGCAAGGGAAGGAATCCTGGCGTGCTATCGATTCATTGGAACGGTAAGGATTGGGCTCCATGTAGAGTTCTCCATCATAGCACAGACTATAACGGTTGCGTGGTGCAACAGCTTAAGGCGTCGGCCTCGCGCTGTAGCTGAGGGTTCAAGGGTTCGAGTCCCCTGGCAGCCATTCGTCAACTAAACCGCTGGGAAAAATATACCAGCGGATTTAGAGGACGAAATTTTTCCTCCAACGGGGAAGTCAAATCTCGTGACCAACCGATTCATCGGAACGGTAGCGACAGCACAAACATGGTCTGTGTTGCACCACCACTTCGCCCGGTTTCAACGGAATGAAATCTGGCAGGCTAATCGATTCATCGGAACGGTAAGGATTGGGCTCCATGTAGAGTTCTCCATCATAGCACAGACTATAACGGTTGCGTGGTGCAATGGCTTAAGGCGTCAGCCTCGCGCTGTAGCTGAGGGTTCAAGGGTTCGAGTCCCCTGGCAGCCATTCGTCAACTAAACCGCTGGGAAAAACATACCAGTGGATTTAGAGGACGAAATTTTTCCTCCAACGGGGAAGTCAAATCTCGTGACCAATCGGCTCATCGGAACGGTGGCGACAGCACAAACATGCCCTGTGCTGCACCACCCTCGCGCAGTTGCAAGGGAATGAAATCGGGCGTGCTATCGATTCATCGGAACGGAAAGGATTGGCAACGCGGGCTCCATGTAGAGTTCCCCATCATAACACAAACTATCTCGGTTGCGTGGTGTAACGGCTTAAAGCGTCAGCCTCTTGCTGTAGCAGGAGTTCGAGGGTTCGAATCCCTTGGCAGCTATTCGTCATTTGAACTGCTGAGAAACATGCCTTGCTGGTTTTATCGAGTTTCTCTTGTTTGTTGACCAACTCCGTGATATTTGTATTATATACATGGTATATTCCTATTATACACAATGTTGTTGCCATTGTGGATACTGTGGATATACCTTGTGCATAATACGAATATGATGGAGCTGATCAAAGAGCAAGACAAACTAGATAAAACCAGCGAGGTGGTTTTAGAGGGCACCAATGGTGAGGTCAAATCTCGTGACCCATCGATTCATCGGAACGGTACCGACAGCACAAACATGGCCTGTATTGCATCAACCTCGCGTGGTTGCAGGCAAGGAAATCTGGCGGCCTTTCGATTCATCGGAGCACCGTCAAGAGTATAAACCCGGTCCAGTACACCATGTAGTGTGCTCCATCATAGCGCGGTGTCACAGCGTAAAGCGTCAGATTCTTCCTGCGAGTCTTTGCTGACCAAGCTCTGGAAACATATCAATTGGAAACCAATTTTCGGTCAACGCTCACCAGATTCCTCGGTGTCTGAATCGGTAAGAGATCGCAGAGGGGCGGACGTGGTCGGGATGCTGCCGACAGTTTTCACCAAGTTCTGACAGCGGAGGTCCTCGTATTCGACGGAACAAAGTGGAAGGCGCGAACCGCGATATCGGAACGCTTTGGACGAGAGGCGTTCCTTAACACAGACGCCAACTTGTGAGGGTGGACACTGTAGGAACGGTGCCGACAACTCTGCCTGAGGTCTGAGAGTGGAGGCATCTCGAAACGGTTCCACCGAGAGCCATTCTCCCACACGATAAGTGCCAGCCGCAAAGTAAACTCTGGGCAGGGATAACTTAGGTTGAATCGACTAGTAATAACAAAGCCTGCCCGCGGGCCAACCCCACCTGTCGGGATGGTGCCGCCGTTGTTCAGCTTGAGTGCATCGACGAGGGTGATTAACACAGAGTAGACGGGCAAACCCGGATGTCGGCACGCTTCCGACAAGAGTGTCCATGCGAGCGTTTAACTCCTCGGCCATTCAGACGACAGTTCATACATCTCATGCGCGGCGTACGGCAACTCCAAAATAGATGAATTCCCTCAGTGGGAAGTACACGAAATTGATACATTATTTCGTTTTCTTGCTTTTTCTGCCGTACGTTTGTCTGACCTTTGGCTTCCATTCTGCCGTCATGTACTCCCCTGCATCAATATCTAATTCAAAAGCTGGCGCCCTCTGTCGCGCAGCAGATTCGGTATCGCTTGGAGTCTCCACGTATCCCCAGACCGGATCCCATCGCTTGCTCAACGACGCTCATAGCGGGGTTCTGATTCCGGCTGCCCCCGACTCTCCCACCGTAAGACGGGAGGGTGGCCGCTCCGACAGCGGACCACTGCGACTTTCAATGTCGTGGTTAACGTATTCTTGCATCCCCGGTAGCGCTGTCAGCGGGGAGGTGAACGCCGTATGCCCCTCATGTTGCGTGGGTGGTGGCGTGGTGAGTGGGGATGACCTATTCGATTGCCCCCCAATCGCCCCCTGTGCTGTGTCGGGTGGCCTCAGGGGAGAGCTCTCGACGCTCCTGGGTAGCCTTCGCTTGACTCGCCTGCGTGGCGGGCAAGGTGTTTCAATAGGCTCAAGATCTGCGCCGTTCGGTGTCAGTATCTTCCACGACCAAATACCACCCCATAATTTTTTGGATGGAAGGGGCATACTGGGCTGGGCGCTGCCTGCGTGTGGACCGTCTGCGTCACTCTCGGGTCGGTCGACATCCATGTCGCCGGGATCGCCATTGTATTCGCCGTTGATTTCCATTGAATTTTGATCCTCCAGTGAATGGTCCAACTGAAAATCGACCGAACCCAAACCGGGCCTATCCGAGTTCAAGTCCGAGTCCGATCGCGTGCTAGCATGCCCCACATCGACGTCCATGTCGGCGGTACCCTGCGAGGGTTGACGAGGCTGAACTGCCAGATCGTCTTCGCAGTCCCTCTGCTCCGATGATTCCAGATCACTCCACGGCGAAATCGGACAGGTCGAGACTCCATCGATCTCAGGGCGCTCAAGAGACCTCGCGAGAGCCAAGGATAGGTTCTCGTCGATCTCCTCCTCCATGGAATTACAAGCTTGGTTCTGAGCCTGGGTAAAAGCCTCCACTTGCTCTCTGAGGACTTCTGCGACACAAGGATCCAACGTGGATGGCCCGCTTTCGAGAGGCCCCCCTCCGACTTCATTTCTAGATTGTCGCAAAGCGAGCTGGGTTGCAGCATCCATTGGTTCATCCTCTGGCGGGGTGTGGGTGCGGGCGAGTTGGGAGGTTTCCTCCGCCATTTGGCTGCCGCCCTCGACGACGTCGTGGCATGGGCTGGGCGGCGAGGTGACACCAGGGATAGATTTTGCCTTACCTTTGGCCACTGATGAAATGCAACCTCGGCTTAAGGGCTTGGGTGATGGCAACGAGGCACTCGAGTCGCTGTCTTCCGACGACGATGGCGCGGTGACCGGCGGGATGAGTTTGCCAATCTTAATCGCGGGACGCCGTTTGACTGGAGCAATTACTGCCCGCTGTTTTGTCTTCGCTTTAAGCGACTGCCGTGGTTTGACAGCGGGTTTCGGCCTCTGGGGCGGTTGGGGCTGTTGGGTATCGGCGTCTAATGTGGCTATGACACCGTCATCGTCGGCGCTGTCATTGTCTTCGTCGTCATCAGCAGCAGCCCTTTTAGTCAGAAAATCAACACATTCTAATACTTGGGGTCAACGACGTTAAATCTGCTGGTCAAATGGGAACCTACGTCGCCGGGCTTTGGGATCACAGTATTCTGCCAGCTGCGACTTGCCGAGGGCGAGTGTCGCTAAGAATACCTCAATGGTTCGGTTGCTGATGAGCTGGATTCCCCAGGTGGGGTGGAGCTGTCTGTGGCGATAGACACGTCCGTAAAACTGGTTCGAGATCACGGAGGACCAGGGCACGTCCTGGAAAATGATCAGCGGTTAGGTGGGAATCGCTTCGGCCGAGCACACACGTAGAGCACGACAAGGATGGCGTTCGTGAGATTGAGGCCCGTGGTCCCAATACCGCTCATAATAAGGACGGTGAGCGTGGGATCATTTTTGAATTCCTGAATTCGCTCCTCCCTTTCTGAGGGGGACATGTGCCCGTTGACATTGGTCGCTCGAATACCGTAAGACTCAAGATACTCGATCATTCTGTCCTGGTACTTCGCAAGGAGGGTGAAGACCAGTATTTGGACCGGGAGCCGATGGCTGTCGCGAGGGAGGGCCTGGGTAGCGTAACCCGCAAAGTCGACGCTGGGCAGACCCAATTCTTGGTGTCGAACGATCGAAGTCGTCGTCCCATGGTACTGTGGCGGAATCATAACCGCTGCACCATCGAGAACAGCGCGCATGCAAATCTCCGCAAGGATGGACAGCTTGGAGTGGGCGCCAGATGGCGATGCCAATGTTAAAGGGCTGATACTGTTGCCGCACGGCAGGGCGAGGTGCGATTGGCAGCGAGTGTAGAAGGCCTGGCGAGGTTAGGTAAGTTTCACACTGGCGCGATGGAGGTGGAGTGTCTTACGCCATGCAGGTCCACACCGCCGAACTCGATTCTCGTTCCATCAGGCTCGTTGTCGTCTTGGACATTTTCGAAGAGCGCCGCTTCCTCTATCTCTGCGGACGTGGGATCGAATATCATGTGAACCAGGGTGAATGGAGGTATAGATTTAGTCACAGGTTGACCCGAACAATCCAACGATTTTTTGGTGCGGCGGATAGTCTCGGGCAATAAGATCCGATGGAGGGTGTCGAGGATGTCTTTAGTCAACTCGTGGAGGTGGGTGATTTGGGTTTGCTCTCAAGCGGGCTCCGGAACTGTGCTCTCCGCTTCCATAAAATCGAACACTGCGGCGTGCTGCTGGATCCGCACACTGTGTTTCCGCCGGGTGACTGAGGTGATCCGGTCGATCAGCTGCAGTTCTTGGTACTCCCCCATCTTGCGTGCGCGAAGGATATCCGCGATGTTGACGAGGTCCTGGGGTAACGGTTAGTCGGCATCATGCCGGCATGGGCACACTGACCTTAGGGCCTTCGACGAAAGGCATCGCCGTCATAAAAATTTTCAAGAGGGCAAGGTGGGCCAAGGCATCCATCGCAACGAATAAGTCGCCGCCCGTGCGGAGCTGATGGAGCTCATCCAAGATCAGGGTTCCCCACGAATGAGCGAACAAACTGGTGGGTTTCAGCGGAAACTTCGGCCGAGGACGTCCCTGTTCCCTGTGAACGTCGGATTTGGCCATTGAGCCAATTACCTGCCACAAAGTTCAGTTTGGCAGCTGGGACAGTTCAAGGTGTTATACTAACTGTTGTTGTTGTCAGCCAAATTTGCCGGTACTTGGCCCGCTCGCAGTTGAGGCCAGCGGTAATCTCGTCCACCCACTTCTTCCGGACACTCCGGACGACGATGAGGGTCACTGCGCTTTTGTCAAAGCATCGGCGGATTTCGCTCTCCCATTGGGCGAGGAGTGAGGGTGGGCACACAATGAGGTGGGGGGCGTTCGGCACTGAGTCACACGGGCCCCATTTGGCTGCTGCTCATGAGCTGTCGGAATGGTTCCGACGAAAGGGAGGACGTACCTTTGGCATGCAGATCCTCAACGGAATCGATAATGTTGCCTACGGTTGCCAGCGCCGTGACGGTTTTCCCTAAACCCATTTCATCGGCAACGAGTGTCGCTGGAAGGCTCCCCCAACCCTGTTTTGCAGCTTTCGGGGCGGCTGGAGGAGGGGTAGGTTCGGTGAAGCGGGCCAACGGGGGGTCTGCCTCCATTCGCCGGCGGAGGAGCACCATCGCCTGGAGCTGGTGATCCTGAAGGCGCAGGGGGGGGGTAATGTGCTTGAAGCTGGAAGGAATACCATTGGGCTGCAACCCGAGCCACGTCTCGAGCGATTGCCGAGTGTGGTCCTTTACCTCGGCTACTCCAATGTCGTCCCCGCCTTCCCAGTACTTG